ATGTTAATTACATCGATGTTTCATCATAACTGTAAAATTGAGATTTCAAGCCGAGTGATTACACACGCGTTGCATAACTTTTGGCAGGCAAAATTATTTTTCAATGACAGATTGTAAAGATAATTGATAACATCGTGATTAAAAATCGATGGCAGAAGCAATTTTTTTGAGGCCGATAAAAGAATAAAGCCTAAAAGTTCAATTAAAGTAATGATTTGCAGGTTCGATAGTTTTTTGAAATTCGAAGCATTTGTTGGTGAAGGATCGATTTTCTAAAAGCACTCTAAGATAGAAGCTCCTCTTTCATCCGGCAACAATGTTTCAGCAATAATCATTTTCCATCAACGGAGCAGTATGGAAGGACTGCGGATGTTCCATTACACGCAGCCCATTTTATTTGGTATCGGAAATGTGCTTCGAGTGGTCAATATTCGAGAAGCTTTCATTGCATTAATAATTCGAGTCGCGGTTAAATTAAATTATGTTTTGTAAATGTTTTTTCCCGATTAATATTAGCGATGCATATTGTATTTATCGATATTTTAAGATATTTTCAATTTTTAAATATGCTCAATTTTTAAATAGCTTTATTATTAAAGTTATTAAAGTGTGTGTTAAATATGAGCGGTTGCCTATTGTTAATGGGAATGTATTTTTTTAAATAAAATGTCGAATTTTAATGAATATCAACGATGTGATTATTAATGCTTATATTTACGAAAAGGCTATTGGAAGGCATAATTTGATGCGATAGATGTTAATTAAAAACGCGTTTGACACTTTATCAACAAAGTAGTGCTCCAACAAACGAAGGTTCGAGTACTTGAAAATTAACTGACTTTATTTATCATTTGCTACTCACTAATAAAAATTAAATAATTTCAAATGTGTATATATAAATAAGTATTTTGTTAAGTTTTAGTTAACCAAAAGAAATATGATATCATAACGTTGCTTTACCATATTGCAAAACATCTTCTCCATAAAAATGTAAAAAATATTTACACCGTAAGATTAAAAGATCAATGATATTTTCAGTCGTACAACAACACATTCATTGCCAACTGTACAAAAGTATTTGCTTTTGTTACTCGGTACATGTTTTAAAAGCGTGCAGTGTCCTTTACCATAAAACACTTTGTCATTCATAACACGATGCCGGGCCTCTCCCTTTCTTCTCCCCGAAAGCAACTGGCGAAAACATTTCCAAGTTCAAAAATCTGAGTATACATATATAATCGCGTCAGCATCTTCCAAAGTCGAAATTCAAGCACATACGGCAAACTCACATCACGTGTCTGTGGAGATCAAAGAAAAGACGGAATCATGTGTACGCGAGGAGAAGCTGATCCCATCGAGATCTATATATACGTAAAGGCATATATAAGAAATGCAGTGAAAGGTGAATTGGAGAAGGAAAAGTGCGCTTAGATACGTCGCGCGAAGATAAAATGAAATATTGAAAGGTCGCGTCGTTTGGTGCTCGAATTATCGAACGACAGGAGGAAAGAAGTGAAACATCTTAAAAGAAGAAAGATGAGGAGCAGGAGAGATAGAGGACGTCGGTGCAAGTAACAGGTATCCTCTTCTCCTCTCGGAGATATAAAGCTAGAGACATTTGGAGGAGTTTAGAGCCGCTAAAGTTTCTTCGCCCAATGATATCGCTTGACGTTTCTTCCTTTTCGTTCTTTCTCATCATCACCATCATCCTCGTCTTCTTCTCCTAACTCCTCTTCTTCTTTAAGGCAAAACTATCGAGGCAAAGCTACGCGTTTTATAAGACATAAACTTTGCCGAGCACACGCGTGCACATGCGCACGCACACATATCCCTGCTTATACGTTTAAGCGTTATAACGAATAAAATGTCGCGTAGTGGCTGGAGTACGCATCTCCTTATTGCTTGACTTTCCTTGACTCTTTTTTAGCTTCCGCTCAATAAACTCAATAAACCTAAGTGATTTTTCGATCGTATTTTTGTGCTTTCATTTTCATGATTATTCTCGTATAAAGAACCGTCTTCTCATGATGAAATTTCTCTTATACAACTAGACGTTTTCTCTCCATATATTTACATGTTTACATCTACACTACTCGCTCTCGTTCGAAATACCCTTACTTTTAATGTTAATGCACATACATGTCATATACGAACAAATATGGATGTGTCGATTATGCGCTTTTAAGAAAAGGAGCAAGGGAAGCGTATTGATAAATTTTATATTAATTAAAATAATTTCAATATCTACCGTGGAATATTTCATTAATTAAAACATGGAAAGCCGGGGAGTTATATGAGATATATGAGATAGTATGATGAAGCGTATTGTGAAAAAGGCAAACTCCCCGCCAGCACTTTATTCGTTATCCGACGTGTTTTCCATTCATTGTCGGAGCGCGTCGATTCTCTTATATTTTTATTTTTTATTTTCTTTTTCCCGGGCACTCATAAAAACGACGATTTTAAGGAATCATTGCGACATGTGGAATACCAAGTCTCGCGTGGGAATACGCGTTTCATCGACAAAACAAGCAAATGATTTTCGTCTGATGACACACTTGTCACATGCCTTCATGCTTTCGACTCTCTCTCTCTCTCTCTCTCTCTCTCTCTCTCACTCACTATCTCTCTCTCTCTCTCTCTCACTATCTCTAATTTCCTAATGAGCTTCAGTCTTGTTTTAGTAAATCAACATCGTCTTCTTATCTATTGCATGCATATTCACATTTCTCTTACATTTTTATTTTTATGTTACGCCTATTAGTACACAATTCGAATATTTTATTTTTACAATCATCCAACATTAACACAATTGCATTAGAATATCCCTAATAGACATTTAGTTTATAGAGAATAGCCATTCTATAGCCATTCCATAAATTGTAATTGAGCCACAAATTTTATAGAGCTCATTCAATATTCTAATAATGTTAAACTATTAACACCTTCATTGCGTCAAGAATGTATTATAAATGCATGAAAACAAAAAAAAAACAAACAAACAAACAACAAAAAAAAAACAAAAAGAAACATGAAAAGAAAAAAATATACATAATACAATGGTCCTTTGATGACAAAACTTGTATAAGACAAAGATTGCTTATACGAGAATGCAGACATTGATCTTACAATAAGTGACCAACTACGAATACATAATTTAATTCATAAATGCTATCTCTTAAGGTAAATTGTATTAGTAATCCAGGTATCCTCTCAGCCGAAATCGTCCATACAAATTTACCCGAAGCAAGCAGCGACATAATAAGTACGTAGTACTTATTACAGTGTATCCCGAAACCCATAAAATGCATCTGTTGGCGCCCAAGTTGGCGGTATCTCGAGTTGCAGCGGTTCGGTGCGATCCTCCCGCGGAATATCGCATTGCCTGACTGCAGAGTAAAAGCGGAAACGTTACCGAGGAAGTGGCCCCAGCGAAATCATAAGCAAAGTCTCCCGCTCGTCGCTATGTGCTACGTAGCGCGGAGTTGGTAATTGGCAATATGAGTGGCTGGTGGATTCTACAGGACTATGTCGGGTCAGTCGCGCGCCCCTGGGATTTTATCAGGAATGGTGTGAGGAAACATTCCCTTTCGCCTCCCACCATCCTCGTCCGCTCTACCCCTTCGTGGACGGCGGCGCGATGGTTGTACGAATGCGGGGATGACGTAGGAATCAAATTGAGTTTCATACTCGCTGGAACTTCCGCCCCCTTCGTCTACGCCTCTCTGTATCCGACTCTTGCGCTCACTTTCTCTCTCTCTCTCTCTCTCTCTCTCTCTATCTCTCTCTCTGTCCATCTATCTCTCTATCTATGTATCTCTCTATCTATGTATATCGCTCTCGCTCCCACTATGTGAGCATATGAAGTACAGGTGTGCTCGCTTTACGTCTCTATTTGGTGTGCGCGGATCGTAAAGAGAGCGGCATTAATCGTTTTCCCTGGAAGAGGCATGGCTTTACAGGACCAACTTCACACGTACGTAGTTTGTAAACTGAAATCACCGTGCCTTGCCTCCGCGCCTGTTTGTGATTTTATAACTTCCATTACCATGATCCCATGCAGAATCCACTCTGACACTGATCTCGTATAACTTTTTCTATCAAAATTTATAAAAACGAAAATTTTGTAAAATTATATCTCCATGAATTAAAGACCTTCGATGATTGAATTCTAATATTTATTTAGCAATGGAAGCATGTACAAATATACTAACTAAACAAAATATTATTTATCCAATTTGACGCAGCGCACCGACAAGTTATATATATATATATATATATATATACATATACACACACATAATAAAGTAGAACATTTTTCATAATCAGTTTCAAACAATGTGAATCTAATTTACGAGCATACGCCAACTAACAATCAAATTAATGCAATATAACATTGTAATTATATTGTAACCTTGACGTAGTTTTAATAAACATTATTCAGTTGGTTGTTTACTTTACAACTATGACATGCGTTACGTTATGAAATAAGAAGAAGCTTTATTTTGGCCATGTGCGCGCATTGTCATAGCTACTTGTGTATTAAGAGGAAAACTTTGTTACCGCGTAATAAAGAATAATCGTGAATTGAGGGTGATTAATCTTCAAAAGAAAAACAAGAATGGCAAGATTTTTTTCAGTAACAAGCGGAATAAATTTCGAGACGATAAATTTCCCACAAAGTCCAAACAAATCCAGAAATAAAGTTAGAAGTCAGTATCGCTAAGGGTGATGTTAAACCAAGGTAAAGAGGGTGTAAAGAGCCGAGTGAGCGAAGGACAGAAGGATAGAAAGAGAGGAAGAGAGAGGAAGAGAGAGGCAGACAGAGAGAGGAAGAGAGAGAGAGAGAGAGAGAGAGAGAGAGAGCAGACAGAGAGAGAGAGAGTGAGTGAGTGAGAGAAAGCCTCGGGTCAGTTCGCACGGCGGTGGCGTCTGGACCGCGGATAATAGGAAGTAGACTGCAGCGACCTACTCGTTCTCTCGGTATCTCTGCTAATCACGTTAAGTCCGGCAGACCGCTTTGTGCCCTCCTCCTCCTCCACTGCCTCCTCCTCCTGCTCCACCTTCTCCTTCTTTACCCCATTCGCCGTCGCCTCGTCCGGTAACTCAGCATCCCACGCTCCTCTTTGAACGAGGCCGCACTCGTCGAAATCCAGTTGAGCGCCGAGGAAGCCCAAAACTCCGCTCCTCCGTCTAATTCCCATTTCGCGATATCACCTTTTCTCCGACGCTTTTACGAAAATTGTTTCCCGCGTAATTTGTTGATAGGAGTTTTGATTATTCGCCACGCTCGGCCGACTAAGGGGAGTTTGATTTATCTCGAGAGAGATGCTTCCTATTGTCGAGTATACATTCACTCGGAACGGGGATTAAGTGATACAAAGATAAAAGTGCGGCGATTCTTTTCCGGGATTATGAAGTTCCTCTCATTATTTACAAGCCGTGATAAAGCCTTCTGCTTTTCCATCTTAACGTCGTTATTAAAAATAGGAGAGGCGCGAAAAACGAATTGAATACAGGAATTAATCTCCGAGTGGATGCTAACGCACGAAAACATTCTTAAATTTAACCAATCAACGAAATTCAACCTGAATCGTAATCTTCGTACCAAGAGAAATTAAACGTTTACCGATCGCCTCAATCTCATCCATCCACTTTACAATTGATCGATATTCCGCGATCGATCAAAATCTCATACCCGATAAGGATACTTATTCAGCACCGTTCGCTTATAACACAAAAATAATCAGCATAAGATGTAAATGCCGACTGAAGACCGAGATTGCGGCGTATGTCAGTCATGCCGAAAGCTTCGTCATCCGGTTAAGAAGCACGCGACAAGCGAGCAAAGAGGAGAAAAGTCCCGCGCCAAAAGCGAGCGCTCCAGCACAGAAAGCTCGAGCTCCCGTCACAGTCTGCGCGATCTCCTGGCTGTGAGGATGGCGATAAGTTATAACTCCTGCGGTTCTCCAGCCTCTCTACCACTTGCGAATCTCATTAAAGCCATCGATGCGTGCTTTACGGTTTCCGCGCGGACGGCGCGACCTCGACGTCGACTCCATTAAGATGACCACGTCCCCGTGATATTGCTCAGACCTTGGCTCTGCTGCGGCCCGGCCACTCCTCGGCCCCTCCCCCGCACAAACCAAATACTCACACCACATGCCAAGCCCTTTAGCTAGCGTCGGCACAAGTCGCCGAGGACTGTCCCTTGGCTGCTGCAAGGGGGTGGGTAGACCCTTCGCGCTTTCGAATATTATGCCCAGGGAATTTGAATAATGTCCTTTATCGCACTCGCCTTCCTTTTTATCCCTTACGCCCTCGAGGTCAAAGGAGGAAGATGCGCTCACGTATAGAGGCATATCGTGAATATTACGGAGAGGAGCAGCGACTTTCTACTCTCCCGGGCTTTCGTATCGTAAACTTTGCGCCGTAAAGGCGGGGTATTTAAGAGCGTTGTCGAGAGCTTCTTATAGGACTTTGGACGACTAAGGAGTGACTTTTCCTTTGCTCGATATCTATGTAGATAAGCTCGATGCTTGCTGTGTCATGATCGCGTGTGTGGAGTTGGAGGACGACGTGCCGTCGCCTGTCGATATTCTCAATGTCCTTCGGTTATACGTCTGCCTAGTTCACTTTCTCTAACGTCTTATTGTTTGGATTAATTATTCACATTGGCGCGCGTGGACACGCGTCACTATCCAACGAATGTAAATTTAGTTTTCGTATGCCATGATGGATAGGGATTTCCTGCATACTCGCACACGCATTTAACGGGAGATTCTACAAGAGGCTCTGCGTAATTCGATAATATACCAACACACATTCGGTATAAGACTCTACAAATAATGAAATATTAGGTCTTGATATTATGGGACTAGAAGCATGGAACTGATTGCATAATTACTTTCACCTTCAATAGTAATGATAAATGAAATAATACGAATTGTGCTTGCTTTATAAGTTCTAATCAGGACATTCACTAGTGATAAAATATCGCATTGGGATTATTGATAATAAATCTACTGCGGGTTAATTCAAAGTCAACTTAATTGTTTATCGAGTAGACTTACAGAGTAGAGTTTTGCAGCTTAAGAATATAATATTTGCAAAAAGCTATTGTAATATTTTACTGGACTTGTAGAGCATTTCAACATAACAAGCATGTCACTCCATTTATCGCCTAACTATTAAATTTTTCATAAATTTATAAAAAATAAATTTCAATCTAATAAAAAATCATCATTTCTTTTCATTTGTCTTTTTCTTTCAATTAAACCATTTTTAATCTTTGAAATTTAATACATTATATAACAAACAATAATGGCAACGATGGCAATTATAATTAGTCGTTGTGAATAAATAAGAGTTTGACTTTAAGGACGAGCATTAAATAAGTCAATGACATTTTACTCGCAAGGCTTGCCGATAAATAAACATTTTAATAAAAAATGACATTAAGCCCTCACGGATTTCAAGAATCATCATACAGTCATAAAATTCACAGTCACCAGGATTCTTCACAAACAACCTCATTGCCTTTTCTCCCCTCCTCATAACCCCACCCCATCTCTCTCTCTCTCTCTCTCTCTCTCTCTCTCTCTCTCTCTCTTTACTGTGCGTCTCTTTTGCAGGAGAAGCTCTCCTTGACCAAGTCCGAGAACTGGGGCTCCGCTCCCCAAGTCCGTAGCTCAGTGGCCGGGAGCGACCCAAGAATCGCTTAGACGCCCATCTTTTTTCGCGAGCTACGATTAAACTTTTCTCTCCGTGTGCACAGGGTAATTTGTGGGAGGAGATCGAAGCCGACAAAAAGGGTTTTGCTCGCTCGACGAGAAGAGAGGATAATGCGACCCCTGAGATACCGTCGCCCGGTGATCTACGGTGCTCGACTCCCTATCACATTCTCGCTGCGCGCGTACTCACTTATTTCGTGCAGCATCGGCACAGAAGGCGAGACAAAGAATGAGACAGAGAGTGAGATAGACAGCAAACCAGAGAGAATGGCAGAGAGGAACAGGATTAGAGAGGGACGGGGAAGTACCTGCCCGCGCGTGTGTGTGTGTGCGTGCAAGGAGCTGGTCAGTCTTCGGTCGCACGCTATGAAAAAAGCTGAGTTGAAAAACGTCTAAGATCAGGGATCAGGTGAGAGGGAGAGAGAGAGAGAGGAGAGAGAGAGAGAGAGAGAGACTTGTTAAAGTTGTTTGAATATTTAGTGGATTATTAGCTGATCGAAGCACCGATTTAAACAATTCTAATTCAAACAATACTTCTAATAATTATTATCCCAAGGAACATTTCAATTCTAATAAATGTTAATTTCGTTCATTGGCCACGACCAATCAGCTTTAAAATCTTCGAAACTATTACTCTTTGGAAGATCCGAGTAAGTAGTTATCAGCAAAATATGTATTCATGAATCAGGCAATACAATGAATACGATTTGTACTAATCGATTTAAAGTATCCTCTTGTGCTTCGAGCTATTCCATTCGAAACAGAAAGAACGGATCACAATTATTCTAGACTGATTGTTCTATTGCCAATTATAAGTTAAAAATAATTGTTATGTCATATTATCTAATGGCATTTAAATTTCATTTATAATATTTGATTTTTCCCATTATTTTTGATATTATGAGATCGGACCCAATGCAATTCGTATGAAAAATAATAGTTTTCCTTTCTTCTATAATAATGGAAATTGAAGTTGAGTTTCGTGATATACATTTGAAAAAAAAAAAAAAAAAAAAAAAAAAAAAAAAAAAAAAAAAATTTCACCATTTCGATTTTGAATTGGATTTCGGTATAACTTATACCGGTATATACATATACGTAACGCTCGTGCGTGTAAATAGTCGGGAAGAAACGAAGAAAATGAAAAATGAATGACTGAGCAGAGATAAGGAATTAAAGAGAATGAATGATAAAATCGGAAAAGGAATTTTCCTAATAAAACGAGTTATAGCCCCGGTAAAGGGATGGATGCGTGCAAAGCCATCCACTCGGTAAAAATTAGTTGGCTCGTTCAAATTTAAATATTGTCCACCATTGAACTTAGCCAAGTCCCATCAGACGTCGAGCCGCGCGCCAAAGCCGGCGATTTTCGCGTCGGAATTAACCTACCGCGAAAAATATGCAAATTCGAATAAAAAACGGTGGAGGTTCGTTCAACCGACGTTGCCTCCCTCCCTCCCTTATTCTATGCCGGCGGCGACCCTCCTCGTCCCTCTCGTTACATACGCGGGCGCACAGGCTGTCAGCGCGAAAACTCATTAACGAATGCAAACGAAGTAACCTTGTGGACAAATTTAATAAAATCGTGCACGCGCAATTAGTTTCGCCGAGGTGCGCGGTAAACAGGACATCCGGGACATCGCGATGCAACTATGCGACCCTCGACTCGCCCTGCCATTCCGCTTATCTTAAATTTCACCCTTTTTCGTTACGTTTAATTTATCCGTTTGTTCATTATGAGATGAGTGGCAAATTATTTAAGCAATCAAAGTGTTAATAAAGATCTTTGTTACATCTCTTACACTTTCCTGTTCTGTAATATATAACATCTGCATTTCCCTTTACTGCCTGTGCGTTCACTAATATACTTCATTCCCGTCAATTAATAATTTTATAAATATATTCATGCATTGAAAGCTTATATATACGATTCATTACGATTCTACTGCTAACATCGATCGACATTTTTATTTGAGGCATATTATGCAATAATCCCTTTGAGACAATCCTTCGATAATAATTTTGCCATAAATAATTTTAATGTATTAAACTACATAACGTATGGTGTTTACTTACATTGAGAGTCCCATTATTTACGTATTCGCATCCGCTTTAAAAGCATACATTTATAGAATGTATGTTTATAATGATAAAATCCTGCATTCGTATTTACTTGGTATAGAATTGCAATATTTGCAATATAGATGAAAATAATATCAAGGAATTCATTTGTGTACGAACAAGCAAATATTTATGGACTTTCTGTAGAAAAACTAATCGAGTTTGGATGACTATGAAGAATAATGCAGGAAATGAAAGCAAAAGCTATAAATAGGAATTTGCTTGACTTGACGTTCGATTTACGCAGATTAATCGATTAAAATTCTAATTTTTACCACTCTTGATAACCAATTGTTTCAACATAAACCACAACATATATAATAAACAATTCTTACAAATTCAATGCCTAA